TTCCACAATGTCTCTAATTTTTACAATATTTCCCCTCGACATTTCCGACCTATGTCCTATATTTTCATAAGAGACATTTCCATCAACATCGACATTTTAAACCTTGCTTTCAAGGAATCAGTAGTATTTTGCTGACAACCACTATCCAATGATAATTACTGTATAGAATTTGAACGCATGAATATCAGGCCAGAGAAGTGAAAGAAAAGGAACCAATGCTATAGAACATGCCTAATAGTAGGGTATAAAATAAATCAACATATAGAAATGCATGAAGCTGACCACAAACACAAGATCAAAGAGGCCAGGTTCAATGATGTGACCTGCCCCTGGGCCAGGAGCCCCCCCATACATAGGCATTAGCAGATCTGGAGATCCATCCTAGTCTCTTCAAGTAAAAATCTGGATTGCCAATGTCCTGCTGAAGGCATCCAGTCCAAAACCTCTTGGTAGTTACCTTTAACTATAAAGTTCCTCCAGCCCTAGGAATAGACCAACTGAAGGCCTTGTAGTAGGGCTAATACTTCTTCCCTCAGTGAGAGTCCTTCATAGATGGGACCTCAGAATATTAGACCATTCTGGTCTCTGAAAACACTACCCATCACCTCCCATCCACCCACCCAGAAAGGTCTTGGATTGTCAGTAACACTCCTATCAAAATTAAAGGACACAGAAACTGGATTGGTGATGGAAAGAGCGAACTGAGATATTGATGTAGGTCAAGTGAAGTTATGGGCAAGAATATCCTTCATCATCTAGGATTTTAATTAATTATTTATTTATTCCCTAAATGAAACTTCCTTTTATAAACGATGTTTTCTTGCATGAAAAAAAGAGGATGTACAATCACTCACTGTATTGGGATCCCATCCCTCTCATTACCTCATAAATACAATTCAATATACTTTACCCTCTCTCTCAAAAAAAAAAAAAAAAAGGAAGAGGAAAAGTAAAAGAAAGAGGAACATGGGGAAAAGAAAAGGAAAAATTAACAGGCTAAAGAATAAAAATAGAAGCTTTATTCCTTATCAAAATTGGAAAAGGTAAAAAGGTGAACCTCTGGCATTTTGACATTTAGATCTTCTGAAAGATGATCAATGGAAGTATTTGCATCCACATCAAATATTCCCTCTGCTCTCATTACAACATATCCTGTTTTTTTCTGAATCTCTTCCTGTTATGTAGCAAAAGTAAATACAAATGATTAGAGACCATATAATTGATAATCAAGATCAATATAATGCAGGAGAAAACATTATGCAATGAAACATCTTTCCACTATTGAGAAAACATTAACATTGACATAAAAGTTGTTATTGAGAAAGAGAAACTAAATATTATTTGAAAATTGAAGAATAAAATCATTCAAAAAATGAAGCATAAAAACAAGGAATCAATAAGATTTACCTTGGAATCATTCTCATCAAAGATTTCACCAACAATTTCTTCAACAACATCTTCCAGAGTCGCTATCTGCTTCAACCATAACAAATAAAAACATGAGTTTCGGGAAATGAGACATGCATAATAAGCAGAAGAGGACTTAAAATAAACCCAGGTGGAAGCATTAAGAATGTTAGGTCCAACACTTGAGTAAAAAAAAGTTTTCAATTGATATGTCTGCAAGTTCCATATATCTGAGTAAGTGGACTCAGAAACACTATTTATGTTGATGGTTTTAGACCATTATCCAGATATCAAGGGCAAATATGAGAGCTATTCATACAGGTCACAAAAGTCATTTCCTTGAACCCACAGCTAATGCACCAATAAATCCAATTCTCTGGATACCTTTGGATTAAATAGTTTACCTTTTATACTTATTAAGAGTACACATTGATTCTATTTATTCCCAAATCCCAACAGGTAATCTTTATTTGAATTCTAATAACAGGTGATATATTGGGTAAATAGATGTGTGGCTAATAAAATTGCATGTTAGGTAAAAACACTTGAGCTGTTCCAAAGTTTCTCAGAAGCTGATATATTGCGGGTATGGAAGGAAGTAGTATATTCCTCTAAAAACAAAGAAAATATGGGGAAACCCAAGTGAAGTGTTGGGAGTTCTATAGGAAACCCAGGAGTGGCAGGAATTTGTGGTGTGTTTTAGAGACTCAACAAGTGAAGTGTTGGCAATGTATTCAGGACCTATAGGAGGCAACTCAATAAAGGCTGAGCTACTAGCACTTCTTCAGGGACTAATTTGGGAGTGCTTATGTTAAAAATAAGTGCTTATTCAAATAAGCACTTATTTGCATTTGGCATCCAGCTTTTTCAAGTACTTATTTTAAAAAATAAGCACTTATTTCATATTGGGCGTTTAGTAGTCTTTTCCAACAATAAGCGCTTATTTCTTTCAAAAAGACGACTTTAACCCACACTTAACAAGTTATGCATCCTTATCCCTTCTTCTCCCTGCATTCTTCCACCTCTACCTCTCCGTCTCAGTCACTCATCACATCAAGAGTCTCCCCGCCGGTAATCCTCAACGTCCACCATTATCCTCCCCTCTTTCTTGAGCATACAGTAAAACACAGAGATGCAATAGACAATTCCAAAACAGAGAGATGCAATAGACAATTCCAAAACAGAGAGATGCAATAGGCAATAGGCAATCCTCATGTCGGCCACACGATGGTTATAACCATGCTACTCTTTTCTTTTGGACATATCACACCAAAACACAGAGATGCAATAGGCAATTCCAAAACAGAAATCATAGAGACGGCATCCATCCCAATTGAAACATTTAAAACAGTGATTAGGGCTGTCAGTAACCGGTTCACAAGGGGAAAATATAAAAAGAGAGAAAGACTAGTAAATGAAATAACAAGGAACTGAGAAAGCAACAAGATAAGGAATTATGCATTGATCTACTTGACACGAACAACAGCATATAAATTAATTCAAGCAGAATGAGCTATTTTCCATTGACTTTGACTCCAGAAGATTAGGGGTATCAGAGCTTCAAAGCCCTCTCATTGGTCATGCCTGGAGGCATTTCATGAGACCCTGTCCCGGAATATTGGCCTTTACAAAACTGCACACTAGAGATAGAGTCACAGCCGACCAAGCCTGCAACTATCATCGATCTTGTTGGGTTACAGGTGTTTGATGGAGGCCATTGTTGAGAGATGCAGCACCTTCAGAACCCGATTCAGCCTGGTAATAGCAGCTTGGGAGCAGGATGTTCGGCTGTTACAATGCACTCAAACCTCTATATATAGGGAGGTACTATAGATAGAGTCACAGCCAACCAAGCATACAGTATTATCAATCTCTTCGGGTTACAGATGTTTGATGGAGGCCGTTGTTGAGAGATGCAGTACCTTCAGAACCCGATTCAGCCTGGTATGGCAGCTTGGGAGCAGGATGTTCAGCCTGGAATTGGGACAGTTTTTCCGTTTTGGTAGAGAAAATTCGAATATTGTTTAAGCACTTAAAAAAAAAACTGGAAATTTGGGCTTATCCAATAAGCATTTATTTTGGGCTTATTTCCCAAACATCAATAAGTGCTTAATGGTGTGGTTCCAGCTAAGTGCTTCTTTGAATAAGCACTTATATTTAAGCACTCCCAAACTTGGCCTAAATCTTGCCAAACGAGCAGATTTTAAAAATTTGGAGGTTGAAGGGGACTCAACTGATGATCTCTTTGTCTAACATCCAGGGTAATGCTCCTTGGATGTATAGACATTCCCTGAGATAGATTGAAAGCCTAGCAAGGGAACTCAATGCTTCTTTCACATGGATCAGAAGGACTGCAAATGCGATGGCTGACTCTTAGGCAGTAACTTTTCTAGGTCTTGTTGTAACACATTGTTGGAATGACTCTTTTTTTTGGGGTAAATTGCTGAAACCTCCCCTGAAATTTAGTTATTGCAATCACCTCCCCTGAACTTTCTGATACAGTTGCAAGTAGACCCCCTCTGATAGAATCTTCTAAAAAAGGACATCAAAATGCCCAAAATACCCATGCAGTTACTATTGAGGCTGATTTCTACCAAAAAAACAATACAAACTTTAAGAACAATAAAAACAAAGAGAATTTAAAGTTGCAACCCTTTGAGTGAATTGATATGATGGGAAATTTGAAAAATAAACCAATTTCAGAAAAGAGATTGGAAGGGTTTCGGGTAGTGATTCAAAGTTGTAATCATGTAAGTTAGGTGGACAATAACTTGTTACTTCACATATCTACAATATTGTCACCAACTTGTGTTATAATACTCTCTCTTTTACTCCACATAGTACTTGTAGTTTTCACTAGGGAATATGTCAATTCTAGTAAAATTTCATTTTGCTACCCAGGGAAGTGAAATGGAAATATGTCATGGATACTATCTCTTGTACTCCACGTAAGTTTGGTAGTGTTCATTGGGGAAATGTCAATTCCAGTAAAATTTTGTGCCGCTACCCATGGAAATGGAAATATGTCGTGGGAATATTAGGGAAATTGGGGACATTTTAAACCATTTTCCAGAGATCCACCTAATGTAGATACTATTCTATCAATTGAATCCCTTTTCCAATGGTTGAACTTCAACCCTACTAGCTTTACAGTAGTCCTTACTTCTGTAAGCTCTTTCTCATTGTGAGACGTCTTACATCTTTCAAACAAACCCAACCCTACATCAGTTCTTATTGATGAAACTTCCACTACTTCATCTCCTATGTCAACAATAGCCTTATTATTACTAAATGGTAGCAAGGCGACAAGGAGTGCTCATTGTTCAGTTAACCGAACCATGGGCCTATTTTCCAAACTGAACCAGTAGTACCAGTTTTTGGAAAACTGATAACCAAAACCATATCAAAGGCAATCAGTTAACCGGTTGATTGGTTTGGTTAATCACCCATTCGGTTCTTAGGTTTTTCAGTTTTTTGATTTTTATAACATATATTATAAATAAATATAAATATATAATAAAAAACTAGCAATATATAATATTATATTTTAAATAATAAATAATATATTATATATTATAAACATATATTTATATATATAATGCATATATTCATTTATAGTATATGGATAATATAAAATATATATAATGTACAAAAATATATAAATATATGTATACCGGTTGGTTCGGTTAACTGCCGGTTTTTTATATTGGTTAACTGAAACTGAACCGATACCTTTGGTTTTTCAAAAATACCAGACTGATTTGTTCAGTTAACTGAATTTTTGGTCTCGTCAGTTCCGTTTGGTTTTTCAGTTTTTCATGGTCACCCCTAAAGGCGACACTGTTTTTGATCTTCAATTCTTCCACCACTAAGTTCAGAACTGGTTTCCAATCTCTCACTTCCTCTACTGTAACAGCGTACCTCTTCTCCCAGTCACCATTTTCCATCTCTATTGACAACTTTAGCACATTATGTGAGCTAGCAATGAGAATTGACCCATGTTTCTTCTGTTGATCATCGCTGGCAATCGCTACATCCATATTGGACTCTGAGCTCTCCGTTTCTGCAAGGTGATCAACTTCCATAAATTTTTCAATCATCTTCTCTCTCAGAAATTCTGAAGCAATGAAACAGAGGTACTTTTGCATTTCTTCAAAGATCCTCATCTAGCCGCTGCTTCCCTTCCCTTCTGGCAGGCAAACCATTTGCCAACAATCTTCTTCAGAGAAATCTGTTATAGTTACATACCAACCTTTCCTATTCCACCGCAACACTGTCTATATCATCTATCTGCCAAGTTTAGTTAATTTCTCCACCCTACTCTTCTAACAGAGAACAGCGCCCCATCCACAAAGCTATTCAGCCACTGTATTCCTCCTTCGGTTAGAAGAATTGTAGCTTTCCTCAACTTCCTAATCTTCACATACCATCAATCCTGACATCTACAGTCCTCTAAAATCAAGTTTTATTCTTCAGTCTGTAAGGGCCTTTTCCAAATCGTTGGTTGCTTCAATCTGTTTTAGTGTAATCCTGTAACTGTTTTCCTCTCAATTATTAATAAAATTAATCTTTCCTTGCTGATAAAAAAAATGCGTGGCTAGTAAAATAATATTTTTTTATTACACACTACACATTACAGGGGAGTTGGGGATGAGGCAGAGCAGGATGCATGTAAGGCCCACGGAGAGCCTGCGGTTGCACAGGTTTGATCCTGCACCTCCAAACTGGAGGAGATGCCAAGTCGCCAACTCGACTACTGGGGTAAGTAAAATGATTGAAGCAAATAAAATTGCAAATCCACCAACCAATTTCAGCTAGATATTGTTCATCAGTCTAGACTGAGCTTAAAATCCCTTCATGGCAAGAAGAAAGTTAAACCAAGGTTTTTAAAACATAACCATATTATGTTTGAAAGTTCCCAATGAGGCAATTCATCTACTTGTCATAGAAAAGATGCTTATGGCTGGAAGTATAAAAGTGGTAGCCTAAGATATCAGTTGAGATCAGGTGTCAGATTGACACAACTTTGTCAATACTTGCTTCACACATGAACTAAGTATCCTTTGGCAATGCATCTACATTGATATTATTAAGGATAAATATGGATTAAGTAAACACTTTATAACCAAATAACCAGTGGCATGAATAGTTTTAATTCTTCAAGAATCATTCAGAGGAAAAGGATATTTTTTTTTGGTCATTTAAGAGTAGGGATCATTAAAAGGAAACATAAAAGGCATGAACTTACTCCTACAGTTCCACCATATTCATTAAGAACAACAGCCATGTGAACCTTTCTGATGCGAAACTCTCTAAGTAAATTCCAGACAGACATGGAATCTGAAATATCATTAAAAATAATGGGTTAAACAATAATCTGAAAGTGTCCAAGTGCACATAAGTAAAATTCATAAAAATAAGGTAAAAGATGAAGGTGAAGTATACAGCATCAGCATCATCTAAACCTTAACCATCTATACAGATAATGGATTCAGCTACATGAATCCTGTTTTGCCATTCTGTTCTGCTCAGTGTCATATCCATTGTTAAATTATGGGCGCTTAAATATTTTTTTTTTGATAATGAAAGAAAAAAAGAAAAAAAGAGTACAAAGGAAGGTGACCAGCAGTAACCTGACAGAAAGAAAAAGAAAGCTTCACTGTCAACAGCCAACCCCAACCCCCTTACACAAAATTAAAAATATCAGGCAACCATTAACCCCCCTAAACTGAAACAAGAAATGACCAACATTCAAAACAAGAAAACCAAAGAGAACGAACTCTTCAATCTCCAACATAAAAAAGGAACCTCTTACTTCTTTCTAAAGGCTTGGCTTGATTTCTAAAGGAACCTCCTACTTCATAAAAAAGGAACAACCTATAAGGCTGTTCTATGAGATTTCTTATTGTTGAAACATCTAACAGCATTTGGCTTCTTCACCTCTCTCCGACCCCTTTGATCATTATTGATTCTTCCCAACTCCAAAATCAGATTCTTCTCAAAAAAATAAAAAAAAAAGGAACCGAAACCACCTCTTCCTCTCCTTTACAACTGGACCCACCTTCAGAACCCAAACTAGAGATTCCATTATCTGTCACAGGTATTGGAAATCTTTCTTCCAAATTTTTGAACATTTTCCTAGCAAAATCTTCCCCTCCAATAACATGCAACCCCAGAGCCTTATGAACTTCCACCTCTACCTCCACCACCTTTTCCAAATAAACTGTTCCCCCCAACTACATGTGTCTTATCCACAATCACCTCATCATCTGAACCATCTTTCCCAACATTACCATCTTCAAACTCATCAAAATTCTGTAAAGGGTTAATTCTTTATTTGTCTTAAAAATAGGCTTTAATGCTCAAATTCTTTTCAAAGATTCCATCACCTTTGATCCAACCCCCCTTCAACACCAATCCTTTGATCCTACTTCCCCTTGCCTCACTACAGCCAAGCCCTTTTCAGTCTGCCTAGCTCTTCTAGCCCCTTGAACTTGTAACAGATCACCATTTCTAACAGGTGTTGTATATGCACATGACCAAACCATCTCAAAGCTGACGAGGATAGGGCTGCAGGCAACCTTTATACATATTTCATCCTTTCATATTATATTAATAAAACTTCCACTGTTACTTATCAGTAAAATTACACAATCCAACACCGAACGGCTCCTAAAATACTCGAGTACATCTTTTATCAAGATCCAATGACCCAGCATTCTCTCTATCTTCAATACTGATAATAGGATTGATTGTCTTCAAATATTTGGAAGTTCTCCTCTTTAGTCCTTCCTAATGCACCAGCACAAACAAATAGCAAAAGATTAGTAAGATGGTTCCCCAACCACTAAAACACCTAGCCAGCCACAAAACTATCACTATTGGGATGTCCTGAGGGAGCACCTAGTTTTTCTTAAATAATATAAAAAAAGTGACCCTACACTAAGTGCATATTTCAGTGTAGCAGTAGGTGTGGATAATTTCTACCATATCACATTAGCTGCTTATGTTACCAATGCTCTTGCCTCTGTAATTAAATGATTGATGGTGAGGATTATAGACTTAGCAGTCAGTTATAGCAATCCTTCACAGTAGCAATCAGAAACAAATGTGAAATTCTAAACCCAATGCACCACTATCTCCATACCATTTCCATCAATGCCAAGGTTATGGATAAGGGTCAGTAATTGGAGGGTTTCACTTGAATCTCATTCTGCCCCATAAACTCTGTAATACAGTTGCCCTGCAGTTATGATAACGGTGACAATTGTTTCCTTGAAACAGAGGCTCCAACTTCACATTACATGGAGTCACCACAGAAATATTGGGCTATTAATATACCTTTGCAAATCCATTAATAACCTATCAACCAAAACAAGGCTATTAGCAACAAAAAACCTGCATAGAACATTACTAAAGTTTCATAATGAACCATGTATAATTGATATTGGGCCTTGTCTGCCTAGTCTCTTGAAACATTACTATGATTCTAATCCTTTTTTTCTTAATCTTTGAACAGTTGCATGCTTAGTTTCTTTCCATCTTGTAACAAGGGTTGTGCCCCCAACTCCATATGCCAAAAAGTTAAATGTCCCTGGCTCTGCCCCTGCTTTGTGTATCAAGCTGAAAGCCTGAAACTGGCTTTGCTACCAAAGAATTTGGAAAAAGCACATAAAGCAAAACAGACATAAAGAGCATGACATAACACAAAGCAACTTCTAACTATGAAGTGACGTCAAGGTTCAGGATTACCAGGAACAAAATATGCCTTGTGTGCGATATCCCTCACAGTGGAAGTCTCCAGTAGCTCACCCTTCAAAACCAAACAGAATAATTTCAACCATTATGAGAATACTGTTAAGCCAAATAACAAAAACATAAATACATGTAAAAAATGCTATTTAAACTCAAACATCTAGAAAGTCAATAATCTGGATAAGAAAAAAAAAAGAAAAAGAAACTAGCTGACCTTTTGAACATAATCAAGTAGATCCATTGCATATACAATACCCACAATGTTGTCAACACGTTGCTCAAAAACAGGCACCCTAGAAATAGATCCACAAATTACTTAGCATTTCCAGGTAAGTCAGTAAGCATTTCAAATATTGCACATTATTGGAAGTTCAAAATACCTGGAATATTGATGAGTAACCCACAAGTTGTGGAAATCAGTAGGAGTTGCACTAGCATCAATTGCAACTACATCTACCAGAGGAGTCATTACCTCCCTCACATGTGTATCTTTAATCTCTAAAACATTTTCAATCATATCCTGCAAGACAACCCAGAGCAATGTCAAGCCACAGACAGACAAAAAGGGTTGGGGTAAGGCAGTAACAAAGGCTAAGAAGAATCATCAAGAAACAAAGCATTTTCCATAGTGAAGGAAATCACGTACTTGGAAATCATGAATTCCATCAACATTAATAACATCATTTCAAAAATGCATTCAGTTGGGCTGAAGTTTATGATCAATTTAGTTGTTAGATGTCTTTACTGTGTACAGTACATTTGTGTGAAGGAGGTGCAGGAACCAGATAGGGAAAAATCTTGCATGTGCAGGATTTTTATTTTTTAGCATATGTTCTCTCTCTCTAGAACCCTCCATTTGAAACCATAACCTTCCCTACCAATCCCAATCTATTTATTAGACCTATCCCCATCTTCCTAGCCTCAAATCCTAGCTTTAAACCCTAACATTGCCCTAGTGCTCTGCATTTTTTTCATAGTCAAACAGAATGCATTCATTCATTCTCATGAAAAACCATGCTGTCCAATAGATGGCCAGCAAAGACCTATACATCCATAGACTGACAATTCTCCACTCTTTTTAATCTATGGACAAGCTTTACATCACATTTCTAGCTCCCAGGCAACCCCAAACTAAACCATGTATTGATACCCTTGGCTTATCTAAACCATCAGCCAACTCATTAGCACTCTTTGTGATCCATCTTCAGGAACAGTTTCAGGCTTCTCCCAAAGACTGAGAGTCCCCAACAGTGAACCTGCAATTCCATGGATCCACCTTTTCTGTATACAGCCAAGAGATAACAACTTGACAGTCACCCTTAGGCTGTTTGGTTTGAAGGAAAAAGTAGGGAAAGGAAGGGAAAGGCAGGGAAACCAATACAAGGTTTTTAAAGGTTTCCCTACATTTCCCTTCCTTTCCCTACCTTTTCCTTCAAACCAAACATAGCCTTAACAATTAAGTTTCCCCAATTATTCTCAGATGCTAATTTTAGACCTTGTATAACAGCCATCAGTTTGACCCTTAGGAAGATACCAGTCCCCAAAAGGCCCAAAGTAGCTAAGTGTTATATTACCTTAGTTGTTGTTCTAGGGTCTGTAGAAGAGAAGAGAGAAGAAGAAGAAGAGGAAGAGGAAGAAGAATGTATCAAAGAGAGGAGAGTGTGTTACTGTTCACACCCTCAAAAAAGCTATTTATACTTTGAAGAAAAATTACAAGAAAGCCCATACTTGGGTGCCCAAATACAAAAGATGATGAAAAGATTAAAACACACTTGTCCAAGCATTCTCAACACTCCCCCTCAAGCTGAGCATACATGGCAATCATGCCTAATTTGACAAGGTTTTTGGCAAACTTTGGATGGTGAACACCCTTAGTGAGGCAATCAGCTAGTTTGTCTTCCGACCTTACAAATGGAAGGCAAATCTCTCCGCTAACAATTCTTTCACTAATAAAGTGTCTATCCACTTCAATATGCTTTGTACAACCATGTTGAACAGGATTGTTGGTTCGAGTCGTTAAGTGTTGGTGGGCTTATTTATCTTTTATGTGTAAGTTCTTTACTCAGTTATGGGCCTTTAGTTATTAGACCTAAACCTGTTTTTTTTTATTATGCCTAGGTGTCCCATCACTAACCAGGGGCATTCTAGTCTATTCCTGTAACATCTTACTGTGAATATATATAATAGCTTCTAGGGACGACTGAGAACACATTGCTGCCCATTCACAAACTTCTTCTCTTCTCTTCTCTTCTTCTTCTTCTTCTTCTTCTTCTACTGCTGTATTTCAACAAACAAGGATTGTGAGCAATATTTATGGCTGCTTGGTTGTCACAATATAATCTCATTGGAATATTTGCTTGGATGCAATAAGGTCTTCAACTAGAGTAGTTTAGACACTTTATGAGCCATTGCCCTGTACTCTGCCTCAGCACTAGAATAAGCAACAACATATTGTTTCTTACTTCTCCAAGAAACCGCATTGCCTCCAACTAAGGCACAATAACCAGATGTAGATCTTCTATCATCAATGGACCCTGCCCAATCAACATCTGTGTAAAACTTAATCTTTAGATGGCCATGATTGGAATACAACATTCCTTTACTAGGGCATCCTTTCAGATAAGTTAAAATTCTATTGATTGCTTGCATATGAGATGTTCTAGGTTCATGCATATATTGGCTAACCACTGCAACTACATAAGATATGTCAAGTCTAGTCAAAAAAAGATACAGGAGATAACCCACTAATCTCCGATATATCCCTTCGTCTAGAAGAACTTCTCCTCTAGTAGCACTCAACTTGTGGTTAGGATCAATTAGAGTTTCTACAGGCTTACACCCTAACTTCCCAACTTCATGGAGCAAGTCGAGAACATACTTCCTTTGTGAGAAAATGATTCCCTTCTTGGATCTTGCAACTTCAATGCCAAGAAAGTATTTGAGAACACCAAGATCCTTAATCTCAAATTCTGAAGCAAGGAAGGATTTTAATTGAGAGATACATGTGATGTCATCGCTAGTCACAACAATGTCATCAACATATACAATCAACATTGTTAGAAAGCTAGGGGACTGCTTGAACCCATACAAGGACTTCTTCAAGCAGCAAATTTTTCCTTCACTATTAGAAAGCTTACTTCAGGTAGTGAGTCCATATAAACTTCTTCTTGCAAGTCCGCATTAAGGAACGCATACTTTACATCCATTTGATAATAAAGGCCAAGAGTAATAAACAGCAAGAGACATGATCACACGAATAGATTTCATTTTAGCAACTGGAGCAAAGGTTTCTAGATAACCAATGCTATAAGTTTGAGTGTAAACCATAGTTGTCAAGGCGACACCTAGGTAGGCGCCTAGGTGACTAGGCGCCCTTGGAGGCTCGCCTCGCTTAATCGCCAAGCAGTTTTCTATAGCGTGTTATAAAAAACCTTTATATTAAGAATATAAATGCTGTATTGAACCCTCGAAGACTTCAAAACCTAAACCAATAAGTAAGGAAGAACGTAAAATGTTGTCCAATCAACATTTTCTTCTTCTTCTTCTTCTTTTGATAAATGAATGATAATTTATTCATAATAATCAGAATACAAAACAGCCTGCCCAAGGAGAGGCACGAGCTGGTACCTCTCCTCAACAACAACAATGTATTACATCAGACTAGGAGATGAGAGTTTACAGAGCTGCCCAGAATAAATGTTCCTTTGAAACCCCTTGCTTAGCTAACCCATCCGCTATGGTATTAGCTGTTCTACCCACCCACTGATAAATAACAGTCATGTTCCTTGAAAACCAATTAGCTTTCCTCATAATATCCCTGTAGCACCAAATAACTGAAGCTGGATTTTTTAACCAACCCAACAACGACTTTGGAATCTCCTTCAATAAGCAAATTCTGAACTCCTAATTGGTCTCCTTCAATAATTAACAGTCAGCCCCTATATTTTTTTAATTTTCTTTTATTTCTTCTTTTTCTTCTAATGAATATTGTGGAATATGTTGATTTTCCATACTTTAACATGAAGTTTATACTTTTCTTATGAAGATTATGGATATTTATCAAGGACATATGATTATGGAACCTAGGAAACTACCCTAGGATACATGTTTTTACTTGAAAAAATCCATCGCCTAGGCAATGCCTAGGCAGCTAGGTGACAAGGGGCCCCCCTGTTGTCTAGCCTCACCTTGGCACCTTGAAAACTAAGGCGTAAACCCACTTACACCCGACAAGAATCTTATCCTTGGGACACGAAACAATCTCCCAAGTCTGGTTCTTTATCAGGGCCTCCATCTCTCTAGTTCATACTTGTTGCATGCCCTCTTTCCTTTTCGGATGGCAATAGGAAGATCAAGGTCAGGATCAAAAACAAAATTATCAGGAGGTTCAAGAGTACCTGAGTTTGGGAGATCTGATTGTGATGAGCATTCAGATTCAAGAGCCACTCTCTTACTACACCTAATGAAAAACTGCTGCCAGGACTGAGGCCAATACATAGGAGGAGGAGGGGAATGAATATCATCATTACAAGGGAGGAAGGAGGAGAAACAGTGATAGGAACAAATGACAAAAAGGAGTTAGGAGTCCAATCTTCACTTGCATTCTTCCCTGAAGAGAAGGACGGCATGACTGGAAAAAAGAGGACTCCATAAAGGTAAAATCCTTAGAAACATATCTCTTGCCAGAGAGAGGATCAAAACATCTATAACCTTTCTGAATTGGAGAGTAACCAAGGAAAACACATTTAATTGATTTAGGATCAAATTTATGCTAGGTAGGACTCATATCATGAACAAAACAAACACAACCGAAGATCCTGAGGGGTAGATTAAAAAAGGGTTCATCAAGGAAGAGAAGCTGACGTGGAGACCAAAGGTTAAGGACCCTTGATGGAAACTTGTTAATGAGATACACAATTGTCTCAACAGTATCACCCCAAAACCGAGTGGTAACATGAGTTTGAAACAATAAACCACGATCAACTTCAACCACATGTTTGTTCTTCCTTTCAACAACCCCATTTTATTGTGGAGTATGATTGCATGAACTTTGGTGAATAATTCCCTAATCTTTAAGGAGCCTACACAAATGATTTTCAAAGTATTCCTTGGCATTCCCTCATCCTAACTTTTCATCAAGTAGAACCATGTATACTGGTTGTAGTCATCAATGAAGAGAATGAAGTATTTATATCCACCCATGCAAGGGATAGCATATGGGCTCCAAACATCAGTATGAATGAAATGGAAAACAATATTACTTCTTTTACTACTTGCAAAGTATGTGGTTGTACATTGTTTAGAAAAATGACTAACTTTACATTCTGTTTTCAGCAAGAAGAAGAGGAGAAGAAGAAGAAGAAGAAGAAGAAGAAGGTGGAGAAGAAGAATGACGTGAGAGCCAAAAATTCTTAATGATGGCGGCACCCAACAATGTTATTTAAATGTTAGGGCAAACAAGACAAAATAAAAAAAAGAAAAAGACCAAAATACCCTTCTACGGCATATATTACATATTTC